CCTCGGGCCTGTGAATGGTCTTATATGACCATGAAGCCTTCTAAATGCTTAAAATTCACATCAGGCCGTTGCTTTCTAAGTTGTCTTTGTATCCGAGGGCTTTGGCCCTTAGGTCCTCGATTCGGAGAGATACCTCTCATTTTTGCCCCCTCCTAAGGTATTTCCTCGATACGCCCCTGCTTCAGGAGACTAACATCTAGAAACTTGCCACGAAATCATGCTGTAAATGTGACTTACTGAAAGAATGTAACCTTAAGGATTGGAAGTTAAATAAAAGCCGATGTTTGTATAGAACAGTTGATTGATATGTACATTACCTATATGACATCTTCTATTTACTAATGACTTGACTGATCCGATTGAAATTTGGATACATTAAGAGAATAGAATTGCTAGGCTATTGGTAGATTGGGTAGCTTGATTTGGCTAAATTACTCCCGAAAAGTCCTTAAAATAATTGCTATTGATGTTGATGCCAATCTGACATGGTGTCCAAACCACACCCCCATTCGTCATACTTCCTTGAGTTGACAAGACCATGTCAAAACCCGTATGTGGGATACGATGACCAATCTGGGTGCTTCGTTTCGTTCTGTAACTGCGGGTGACTCAACTTGCCATCCATGATCTGACGAAATTGTTATCCATCTCCTGCGCATGTTCATTAAAAATTCATCTCATCACATTTGTACTTACAGCGACAACTTTTGGTACCATTTGTTCAAAATTCCACAGAACGCAATATACAAAGAATCTTGTAAGATCATGGATACCTGTTTAAACCTGTATTGAAATCAATTGTTGATGGAGATGAATTTCAACACTTGTTCAAGAACTCATTATAACTACCCGTAACTCTTTTCAGAATGACAGTTCGTCTTCGGATTGTCTATAATTATCTAAATGAATTAACCAGTATTTTACAATACTTTGCAAAAATCAACCCCAGGTAACCAAAACTGCAATTATTTTTTAGAATTAATGTTTTTTAAAGCTGCATGAGACTTTTATGATATACAGCTATATAGCTGTCTAACCAACGGTAACCCCAAATCGACCAGCGTGTTGAAACTGACCTTGATTAGATATATTATACAATAAAACAGACGATTATTCAACAGCCCGTATTGATCATATATTTTGTTGCAACCAGATTATAAACAACGGTATTTAAAGGGACAGTCTGATTTTAAGTAGGTTCGTTGGATAAAGTTAGGTACGGTACTCAAATTAATGAAAACTAAAAGTATCTTTCTGTTGATTTTCAGAACGCCAAAATTATTCACAGGTTAACTTCCCCTTTAAAGCGAATGTCCGGAAAGCTTCAAGATATTAGGAGTTATGAGATGATCCTCTTCTTTCAATTCTGTTTTGTTTTTTTTCATTTCCTTAGACAAACAAAAGTCTAAGTTATCTCGACAACTTTTGGTATTTTTGTATGGCTAACGTCTGCCCTATAACAAGTTTCCTTTGAAAATTGAAAAAAATTGAAGCATTTATTGCTCTATAATAATATTTGTAATTAAGCAATTGCCCAAATATACATTACTCATATATTGGTTTGGTTGACCGACCACCCAATAATACAAGAGAAAATGACATTATAAGGAGAGAGTGTGCCAGATCCACTAAAAGAAGGATTTGTGTCTTAGTCCTTTTCTCTAAGTGTTCAATGGTTTATAGGTTTTTGTTATTGTAATGTTATTGTATTGTAAAGCTAATTTTCGATGAATGTCAATAACGGGAGTAATCCTAGTTTGATGATTTTCATTTACTTGTACATTTTTACAAAAAACAGTCGTGATTTTCAGTTTTTATTTTTACCAAAAGCCTTTTTTCCAACTCGACATTATGACAAACATATACATATAAATATATTGAACACCGATAGCTAAACCAGAAATGATGCGAGCATACATAGTCATTATCACAGTGCTCTTTGGTGGTTAAAAGGTTTGAAATACCACGACCCAATGGGAAACCAAAGAAATAAGAATGCAGTTTCGTTTTCCTTCGGATATTTTCGTCTGCATTGTAATCTAACAAATTTTTAACACAATCCTGTTTTCATGATATTTAGTTTAACAATCACATCGTGCCATTTAAGACCCTTTCTTGACAACAATAACAATTTGTGGGATAACGAAACGCAAAGAGGCTGTCAAGTTGCTATACTTTAGGTTTCGCTCTAGCCTAGTACAATTCATCTTTGACACCAAGAAACGGGTTCTACATTACAGAATTGTGTATACTTCCTTTAAAATGAATAACATGTAATCTTATTAACATGATAAATACAAGAACCTGCATAATTCTTGGTTTTAGATGACTCACTCCACTATCTTGTTTACACAGCGAGAATTGACACAATTATATGCAAATTAGCTCAAATATGTTAATTTACACCCGGGTGCACTTGCTGTACATTTGCTGTACGTTCATACGAAACATAACTTCCTTAAGTAAATCTCGAGCAAATTCTCTATTTCTGTCATAGCCTTGGAAAGGATCAAACCAGAACATTCAGTCAAATTTGCTCAAGTTTGCAAGTGTTCAAAAAATACATTCATGTTTAAATGTCGCCGTATATAAACAAGGCTTTAGAGTGCAATTTATGCAAGTTTAGAGCTCAATATAGTTCAATAATAATATACAAGACGAAGTCAATGCTCTCGTTTAAAATTTTATGGGTTATGGAGCTCACACAAACGGTCCACTGTGAACATTCCTCTCTCACTCTACATAGATTCATTCAAAGGTGCTCAGTCCGGCCCTGGATTCATTTTTATCTTAAAGATTTTATAAAGAACAGTAAAGAATGAACTAATGATGAAAAACTGTTTTGACAAAGTTATTAACATGTGAATTTTATATTATTCTCATCCAAAAATATTTCTTATGTCAATAAATAGATAGGGCCCAGGTTACATTTATCCAAATAGCTCCGTAATTAGACGGTTAATTTCTAATCAAATCGACCCTTTTCATACGAGAGGGTTTGACTCATTATATTCCTTTCACGAGTATCGTTTATATTTACAAAACAAAACATGAAATGAACATGCAAGTGTGTTTATTGGCAGAATCAAAAAGCAACATCATGAATATCTATAATCTCGGTCCCTCACAAAAGGTTGAAAAGGAAACACGTCTCCACAGAGTCAAGTTGAAGATAAATATGGTATGAAATTATCAACTATCTGTACTGTTTGAAACTTCCTTGGAAACGATGACATTTTTATGAGGTAATATATTGAAATATCGATTGAACTAACCATTATTACCGTGTTTTATTCAATTTGACGTGATTAATACAAATATTACACGATAAGATAACCACTCACTTCCGGCTACGTCAATCATTGCTGATGCAATTAAACAATATGTAATAAAGTGGAGTTAACATCCGACTTTTCTGTGACCCTTTGCGAAAAGACGGACAAGAATCGCCATCATCTTGATACGCAGAGAAGTATTAAAAAAAAATCGTGTCACAGTAGTTATGACAATAATATTCAGTTCAATGAGATGGTATGTTTGCAAGGGATTGTAAAAGAGGTTTTTCTTAAAAAAAACCCATCAATTTGCACCATTTTCGATCTGTCTGTGGTTCCTGCAATTCCTCTTCGCAATCGCCTTCTGTATCATAGCATATTTTGCGATTAGTGGCGTCAAAAATTGTTTAGATAAAGTGGAATCGCAGTAACCACAGACGTCTGACTGAAAATTGGACGGTGCAAATTGAAGCTATCAGTGCCCCCTATACACATAAAAAATGTAGAAAACCTCTATATAATTCCTTTAATAACTGCACCTCTCTTACATTCTTCAATGCATATGACGATTTCTTAAAAGATAAATAAAGGCGCTCCTGGTATGACTACTTACAACATGTTGTGCACTTTAACGAGCCTTGGCAGTTGGAAATTGGAAAAGAGTAGGATAATGCCGCAATCATGGCAAAATTTCCCTTATTGCACACTGCGTTGACAATCTTCTGTAGCTATCAGGGACAAAAAGTATCTTTTAACTTCATTTCTATAACCACTCGTTAAACATTTCAACATAAGTTACACATTGTACAAACGTTGACGTAAAACTTCAATTCATTTTAATTCACTTCATTCATCTCCTGGTACTTACTGTACAATCTTGACCTCTTTTATGTCGGTCACGTCGACCGCAGTAGCCAAATTCAACTATCTGCACTAATACAGGATCTAGCAAGTCTCTTGTACAAGGTGATCTCACTCCAGGGTTTTTCGTTTAATCGAGGGACCTTGCATCTTGCACCATATTTCACCAGGATGGGTTTTAATCCCGGATCTGATCTTAGTCTTTGTGAACATTGATCTTGCTTTCATCTGAAAGGAGTAAGACCCCTAAATGTGTGGATGACAGTTACATAGCTCCCAATTTTTCTGTTACATAGCTCCGTATTGTTCTGTTACATAGCTCAGTATTGTTCTGTTATATAGCTCCGTATTGTTCTGTTACATAGCTCCGTATTGTTCTGTACATAGCTCCGTATTGTTCTGTTATATAGCTCCGTATTGTTCTGTAATATAGCTCTATATTGTTCTGTAATATAGCTCCGTATTGTTCCGTTACATAGCTCCGTATTGTTCTGTTATATAGCTCCGTATTGTTCTGTTGTATAGCTCCGTATTGTTGTTATATAGCTCCGTATTGTTTTGTTACATAGGTCCGTATTGTTCTGTTATATAGCTCTGTATTGTTCTGTTACATAGCTTCGTATTGTTCTGTTATATAGCTCCGTATTGTTCTGTTGTATAGCTCCGTATTGTTCTGTTATATAGCTCCGTATTGTTCTGTTACATAGCTCCCAATTTTTCTGTTACATAGCTCCGTATTGTTCTGTTACATAGCTCAGTATTGTTCTGTTATATAGCTCCGTATTGTTCTGTTACATAGCTCCGTATTGTTCTGTACATAGCTCCGTATTGTTCTGTTATATAGCTCCGTATTGTTCTGTAATATAGCTCTATATTGTTCTGTAATATAGCTCCGTATTGTTCCGTTACATAGCTCCGTATTGTTCTGTTATATAGCTCCGTATTGTTCTGTTGTATAGCTCCGTATTGTTGTTATATAGCTCCGTATTGTTTTGTTACATAGGTCCGTATTGTTCTGTTATATAGCTCTGTATTGTTCTGTTACATAGCTTCGTATTGTTCTGTTATATAGCTCCGTATTGTTCTGTTGTATAGCTCCGTATTGTTCTGTTATATAGCTCCGTATTGTTGTTATATAGCTCCGTATTGTTTTGTTACATAGCTCCGTATTGTTCTGTTATATAGCTCTGTATTGCTCTTTTACATAGTCCCGTATCGTTCTGTTATATAGCTCATAACATATCTAGAGGGACAATGGTGTATAGTGTCAAACATGTTCCTTTAGCAACGGAGCAATGATAATGATCAGTTAGATGTGAATAGTCATCGTACCGTTGCTGAAGGAACATGGGTGTTAAGTTGCAGTAATAGAATAAGTCGGTTGT